GGGTGATGCCTCGGCGCGGCGGCGCGGCAGGACGCGGCTGGGGGCCGGACCGGCTCAGGCCACTCGGAACCTCTTCGTGAGGGAGTTGAGGAGGAGCCGGCTGCCGCGAGGGGTGTGTGGGGGGGTGTTCCCGGAAAGCCGCGGCGATGGAGCGGCGCTGCACCCGCCGCCCGAGGAGTTGAGAAAGAAAACAGGAAACGTGGTGGCCGCGCAGCCGGCCGGGCTGATTCATTCGCCTCGAGCGCCGCGCAGCAGGCTCGCCAGGCGGGGCGGGCGCGGGGACGAGCCCGGGGGCCCGGGACCGAGGAGATCGCGCCGTGGACCGGGCGCCCCCTCCTCCGGGCGGACTCCGAGGCGCGCTCGCCAGCCCCTGCGCCATCCTCAAGGACGGGGACTCCCGCCCGCCGCGCCGTCTAAAAGTCCCGTCGTGGTCTTCTGGGTCAGCGTCTAAAAGTTGGCCGGCCACACTTCGCGCTCCCTCCCTGGATGCTGAACTGAGACGCCAAGCTGGAGAGACAGTGCTTTACTGAGGCAGGCCGCCCCGCCAGCAGAGCCTTGGCCCCCCTCGCGGTGCCCGGCTCGACAATATGAAGGAGCAGCCCTCATGTGCGGGCACCGAGCATCCGAGCATGGCGGGGTATGGCAGGATGGCCCCCTTTGAACTCGCTGGTGGCCCCGTGAAGCGCTTGAGAACTGAGCCCCCCTTTCCCTATCTCTTCGCAGAGGAGGCCTACCAGAAACTGGCCAGCGAGACCCTGGAGGAGCTGGACTGGTGTCTGGACCAGCTAGAGACTCTGCAGACCCGGCACTCTGTCAGTGAGATGGCCTCCAACAAGGTAAGCCCTGGCCCCGCTCTCACGTGTGCCCCTAGGCTGCGGTTGCCAATGTCTGCGGAAGCCACCAGCACCCCTTGACCCGGGGGACGGAGACATGTCACATTGCATGTTGACTGTTCTGCTCCCCAGGAAAAAGGGTCCTGATTCTGTGCCTTCCTTCTCTCTTATTCATGCCACCTTTTGCAAAAGTAACTTGCAAAAAAAGTAGTTTGGCTGCAATACTCACAGTGCTTTTTTTTTTTTTTTGGTGTGGGGACTCCTAAGTGACATTTTGCCCTTGCGAAAGAAACCCAGCCCGGTCCATTCGAGTCGCATGTTTACGGGTATTTGGGGGATTGTTAGTTGGAAATGAGAGTTGCTGGAGATCGGGGTGGATGTTCCCATTTTCGAACCTCACTCAAACTTAGAACTGAGTCCAGTGAACTTGGACCATAACCTTCATTTACCTAGATGTCTGATTACCCTGTAGGAGCTGAGCTTTTATATACTCACAGGGCCGTGTGTGCCCCCAAGAAACATCTCCAAAGTCAGAAGGTTCATTTTGATCATTGCCTTAGTTTCTGTGAGTCCAGTGTTTTTGAGGTCATTTAGTGATGCTTCAATGAAGCATTTGCGTATGTGCCAAAGGACTGGTCTTGTTGGTTAATGGAGTTTGGAGGGCTGAGAAGTAACCTTCAGCCTGAGTCAACCTTACAGCAAGGCAGAGTGTTTTCAATTGCTGTATGTATTTTTTGGAATTTCTGTTCTTTTTGTCTTTATGTAAGGAAATAATTGGGATGATGTATGTTTTTAATGACTGTTTGGCTGAAGGGATGAAAAAGGAGGCATGTAGCATGTTGGATGCAGATGGCTGAAGGATTCAGCCAGTCTGGGCTGGTAACTTTCTGTGGCAATTAGTAACACTTGGCCTCTTAAAAAATAGGTAAGTATTTTTGGCCACCTATTTGCAAGGTCAGGAAGGTCATACCAGTTTACTGTTTATCACATGCACATGTCTTTCAGTGATTGATTTTTTTTTTTTAAATAAATGTAGCTTTTATCCCACCTGTTTTTTCCTCAGGCAGTTTTTTAAATGGCAAAGCATTTCAGCTACTTGATTGTCCTGACTGCTCACAATGTTTATGTGAGTAGCATTGTTAATGAAGTGAAAGTTGACTTAAGGTAAAATCAAAGGACCCTCCCCCAACTCTCCTCACTCCCAGTCACTGCACTGAGCAACTAGTGTGCACACTTACATACCCATATGCACACCGGTGATCCAGTCTGTTCTGTTTGGTTTGGGGGGGGGGGGGCATTTGGGCCTCATTTCTAAATTTGGTATAGTTCCTAATCAAAATTATCAGTCATTGCTCTCCTAGTCCCTGCCCTGGCTAACAAATTTGGTTAACAAATTCTTAGTCCATTGATTAACTTTATAAAATATAGTTGTTTTCTTTCTTTCTTTTTTTTTTTTTTTTATAATTCAGTTCATATTAGCATGCAACATATACAGACTATTTCCATATTCCTAATTGCTGATTTGGGACCATTCTGTGTTGAGCCTAAGTCCTTAATTCTCTTTGATTAATTCTGTGTAGTAAGAAGAGTGGGACCTAAAGACATCTAATGAGATGTATAAGCATTTGCTAATGTTTTCAAGATGATTTGACAGTACAATGAACCCAAGCAACTACACTTTCTCTCAAAGTCTCCACTCTTCTTGTTGAGACCTACATTTAAATTTAAAAATGAACATGAAATCTAATAATGTAATGACTTCAACTGTCAAGTACTTAATTTATCCCTTCTTTAAGGTGAAACAAAAATAAAACTGTAGGTAACATCAATTGCTCTTTTTTTTTAAAAGCTACCAAATAAGATTTTTAAGATCTTCATTGTGTAGGCCCACAAATTAGACTTAATTTCCAGTGCTAAGTATGGAGGAGTAAAAGATTATTGACTTGACACTTATTCTTAACATTAAAAATGTCAGCTGAGCTGAAACAGACTTAAACTTCTAATATCTAAGCCATTCATTTTTTTAAATTCATTTCTAAATGAGTGCTAAGCTCATGTGATTTTTTATAGATGAAAAGGATTAGCATCGAAGGCAAAAAGCTCTTGGTAAAAGTTGTAAAGTTACCCTTCTGCTTGATAACAAGGGCACAGATAAGTCACATTCACTTGAGCTGTAAACTGAGTTGAAGCAGCTGATCTGAAGGTCCCTGTGAGTGATGCCGAGCCTAAGTCTGAAGAGGAAATGTGACAGCTTTCGTCACACATCCACTCGTTTGGTATTTCTTCAGTAGGTTTAAGTCTGAAGCATAGCTTTTGGTTATTAGTTTAATTACCATGCATTCTTCGTGTGTACTTATTTCAACCAACTATTGTTTTATCTCAAGTATGGAAATGATTAACTTCATTGAATCACTTTTTTGCCTTTGAAAAGTCATGAGTTCTGTTTTCTTCTCAAGTTTTTTTTTTTTTTTAGTGTACCATAATAAAAATACTAATAAAAAATACTAGTAAAAGATAAGGATTTTTGAGTGATAGTAGAAAACACTTATAAGGGAGACGATTTTGGGTGTTAGAAAGAAAATTGATCCCTGAAAATCATTTACCACTTGGGTTAACTTTATTCAAAGGTTTATTTAAATCTTAATAAAAGGTATCTGAAGTATTAATAGTTTTTAAGTGATACTGTAGTTGAATTTCCTGATTGCCAATGTAATGTGTATGATGCTTATTGATGGTATTGGGGCAGGAGACTGATTGAGTTTGTGCCAAGACTGGCACTGGCTGTCTTACCGAGTAGGGTAAAAAACTCCAGATGGCATTTAATTTGAGTGCTTAAATCTACAGCACTTATATTCTCATAAGCACTTTAATCTGCCTGAGATTTATACCGATGTCTTGTAGCACCTCAGTTGAGGGAGATTTTGGTGAGCTCTCAAAGCTTTTGGGGCAAATAGACGTGGACGTTGAATGTTGACTTTGTTCCTTGCTGGCTGAGTTACATTAGAGAAATGATTTAGAATTTTTTAAGCTTCAGTCTCCTTAGCTTAAGGTGGGCGTGATCTATCTTTTTTGAAAGGGCAATGTAAGAGTTAATAAATATACATATATATCAGTTACACACACGTAATAGCTATCAAACAATGTCCTGACATTAGTAGACACTACACTTGTTATTGGTATTATTATTTGGGATTTAGGTCAAACTTCATTGGCTGGCTGCCTGCTTGGCTAAAATAAGTTTTTTGTTCACTGGTAAATTATATCTGATACTGTAAGTTCCACAGATTTTTATAATACAGCTCTTAGATAACTGTCCTTAGTGCATATTTCTGTATTTTTAAAAAAGTGATTTGATTATAATTAGTGTTTTTGATGTAACATAGACACATTTTGAATTTCTAAAGATAAGTTTAGTCTTTTCTTAAATTGCAGTTATAGAATTCCAGACAGAAGATCTAAAAAAAAAAATTTCTGTTTTATTCTAAAACTGAAACAGAGCATTCACTAAGTTTTAGAAAAGGTTAAATGTAATGTGAGATAGATGAGAATACTTCCATCTTTTTGTACAGGTTTTGCAAAGCTGAAGTGCCTTTTAGATAATGCAGTATAATTTCTAAGGGTTTCTAGTGTGCCTTGTCTTATGGAAAGTAAGTTGAGGACACTGTGAGTCTGGTGGGTCAGGAGCCTGAACTCCAGGCTGTCAAGGATTATGCTATGGAACCCTGTAACTTCATCCTGTTGAGCACACAATGCATATAATTCACCAGGCCTTCAATGTAAATGCAGTTTGAAGAAAAACAAAATTATTTTTATTTACTCCTAAAAGATACCACTATAAAAATGTATTTTGTTTTCCCCCTTTAATTCGGGGTCATTTCTTAGACTTAGCAATGATAAATACTACCATTCTTGAAGCTGAAAATCTATCTTGAAATTAGAAAGCAAGTACCCTTCTAAGAAACAAGGTTTTTCTTTAGTTCTTTCCAGATAGTGCAGCCTTGAAATATGGTCATGACTTCCTCATGGAATTAATTTTGTCTATTTGAGTTTTTACAAACATCTCTATCATGTTCCTGATACCTCTAAATTAAATTGCTTTTCTGGTGTGCTTTTTCTCAGTGCTTTTACTGTCTGCTCCCCCTGCTGCTCTTTAATAGTCAGTGAATATATAACATATACTGGAGTTTCCTATGACTCCTCATACATTTTCTTCTGGGCAAAAAAGGTGTTGGAATTGATATAGACTTCCTCAAAATGTCTAAATATCAAAATAGTGCAACATTTTGCTAGTACAAGATGACTCTTAGGTCAGAAATAAAAATTCTTTTGCTAGGAAGGAAGCTGAATTAGTTGGAAAGGCATTTTAATTTTATGGAAGGCAAATATCAACCTTCATTTTCTGTTTGATAAGAGAATTAAGAGATTATTCACAGGCCTTAAAGACAAATTTAAAAATATTTTTATCTTCTATAACTAGAAAATCATTGATATTTTGAATTTGCTATCTGCTTCTTCATCCCTTTAGCAAAAGTAGATTTGGCAGACATTTATATCCAGCATTTTAGATACATGTATATTTACATAGTACCTTAATGTTAATATGAAGGATTTAATAGCTAGTTACAGCTATTAAAATAAAATGAACAGTTCCTTTGCCTTTTATTGTTAAAAATCCACAGGAAGGAAACTGGTTTAACAGAAATGTTTGTTTCATTGAATAGTAAATCCTTTGTCTTTCACTTAATAAAGCAGGATTAAAACAAATCTTAATTTGTCACTCTTGTCGTCAACTCAGGTCCTACTTAGTGACAATAAGCTTAAATATCCTTAATACATAGTAATCAAAAACTTTTTTATTAGTTTTTCTGCTAATTACTGAAACTTAATAGGACCAGCTTACAAATCAAATGTGGTAGGAGAAATCCAAAACAGATGTCAAGAAACCCCTTCAACACCTGCCCTACCGAAATTGGCATGTTACAAGTATACATCTTACTCAATGC